TCATCGCCCTGATGACGGAGGCAGTATGACCTCTGAAACGTTGGTTAACATCGACCAGACTACACAGCGCAACAACCCAGAAGACGGAAATCTTCATACTCACCGCTGTGAGAACCTCAAGTCTTACGCAAATATATTTACTTATCGAATGATTTGTATGCTGACTCAAAGTAATTTTTGCACTATTTAATTCGTATCCAACGAGTTCTAACTCATAACATTCGAAAAGTCTCAGAAGGAAACTGAATGAGAGACTTACTTTTGGGCAAGTTCCTCGCGGGTGTAGACGTCTGGGTACTGCGTCCTCTGGAACGCGCGCTCCAACTCCTCCAGCTGGTCTCCAGAGAACGTCGTCCGGCTCCGACGCTGCTTTCTCTTCAGGGGGATCCCTGGTTCGGACTCCGTGTCTGACTCGTCACCGCTGCTCGGGCCTGGATTACAAAACTACTATGCAGACGCTTGAAATACTCATCTTTACAAGGTTTGAAGTTTTCACGGCCGTAAACTTCTACATTAAAGTTTCACACAAGATTTTGTTAGTCAGCGTTTTGAATTTAGTCATATCGTTCTATCGTCCGCCATGTTACTACTTACAATTAGAGGTACAGACAGCGTTAAAGTTTGAATTTTAAATAAATAAATGTCATTGTAGTCTACTTTGAACGACGTCAGTTTCAAAATTTCTCACAGTCTTCATAATCGTGTAGCTAATGGTTAGGATTCAAAAAATGACTTGTGGGTCACCTCAAAGGGCAGTGTTATTGCAATTCTAAGTGTCCTTAAAATTATCGGGGCGGAAGATACATCAAGGATGATCCTCGAAGGAAGTCTTTATTCCGAAATCATCCTGAATTGTGTGGATTTGCATCTCATACTAATTTTAATCAACCGGGAAAGTGATAAATCACCGCGCACAGTTGTCAGCACCTAAACGCAGCCATTATCGAAGCTAGGTGGTCTTGTTGGTTGTTTTGTGACATTGACTTCAGGTCAACGGCGAGTTGGAACCGCATCCTTGAGTGATACTCTCACGAAGCGTCTTTATGCGGAAGATGCTTATCATTCATTAAGACGAGTTCCTAATCCCTGTGTACATGAGTTACCGACTGCCTGTGAACACCAAGATGGCGGAGAGGGGAAGCAAAATGGCTCCCCCACTGTTAGATTTATTAGAGAGATTCACGCCCTCCTGACACCCATAACTCAAACTGTAATGTAAGTGATATTTCAAATGGAGTCGATTAGGCTACGTAAGGCAGTCCTGGTTGCTAAGCACCTAGATTCAACTGATTTCAAGGAATTTAACTCTCAATGCAGGAAGTTAAGAGGGATACAGGGGGTGGGGGGTCAGTTGTAATAAATTCAGAATAAGATAGTTGTATATTATTTCTAGTAGTGCAGTGTTGTTTTAAAGAATTCTTTTTGTTCCTCCCTCAGTTTTACACAAGTTTATATTAATATTTAAGAATTGGTTCGACCCTCGCTGTACTCATATGCGATCAGTCTGGTGCATAATAAATTCCCATGCTTGTTAAATTTTCCAAACAAATTTAGGCTAAATAATAAGTATTTTATCCCCTTTTGTAGGACTTTAACTACATTATATTTATGAATCATCAAGCTTTAGCAAAACCACTGTTTTCAGAAGAATTATTCCTGCCTCTCTTTTCCCTTTCGGCTTTATCAGAGAACATAATTACTTAATTAGCGAGCATAAATCAGGAAGAAAAGGTGGAGTTGTGCTTAAGACATCTGTAGAACACAGTGATTCTAACAGCTGCATCATTATTATGTCCTCGTCGTAAAGCGCGGTTGTCCTGAACTCGATCACATTTAATTACCACGTGATCGACGAGGACCACAAATTGGATCGAAGAGAATATGAAGATTAAACACACCTGTAACTCCTGTGTCGTTATTGTCATGCAACCAGAAAAGGACGCGTGTGGCAGGGTACAGATATTGCAAACAATGAATTTCGAAAATGTTCAGGCTGACATTCCACTCTTGTTAATTTAAATACACGAATGTAAGTCTGTTAGCTCCTTCCCTGTATGCACATCTGGTTTCATCGCGCATTATAATTTAACTAATTTAAGACTGAGTTCAGTTGTTCCCTACAGGTTACGCGTATTCTGAAATATATTCAGTTTTGGTGTAGTTTTGAAGTGATGTTTTTTTTTTACCTAACAATGGAAAAGACTGAAGGAATAATTTTCACCCTTCTGGCTACCGGTATTATGTCAGAGAGAGAGGGAAAAGGTAAAAATTAGTGTAAAGAACGGTTAATAATTTTTTTATTCGGATATAATACCCGCACCTTCACGAGCTCAAAGTATGTGTTAAATGTAACTAAGACAAACACTTGATAATGAAACTTTGAATCTTCTTTAAAGGAGAATATCATTGCAGCACGACAGTTCAGACAGATTTACTCAATATTTTTGACGAATTCCACAATATAATTGCACAATACGGTCATGCTTGCATTTTTCAAATCTTTAATCTTGATTTCGACTTACGGAATTTGCACTGTATACGCAGTGTTTCTTTTCATACGTGACGTCACATAGTCTTATTATGCAGTAAAATTCAGCATGGATTAGTCGGGGAGCTAATATCCGAATTGAGGAAACCATTTAAAAATTTAATTTTATCATCATGCCCAAATCGGTAGGTAAACATGTATGAGTGAAATTTTTCATCAATATATACACGAGACTTGCGTGACACCAGCTGTTCAAAATAATATATATTAAGAATATACTGTCTTAGCATTTAGCCATATCGCGTCGTACTTAAATTATGTCACTGGCTTAAGTAATAACGAAGAGGTACTGCACAGTATGCAGAAATTTAATATTACGCGATAAATTTTATGGACCAGTGTATATGTTGGATGGTTATAATTTGCAGAGGTCTCATTCTAAGTAGTAAACTTCGTTTACAAACACCCGATGTGTGTTAACAAAACGTCGTAAACCGAGATAGCAAGAAGGGTGTTCAAACTACTGCCAATCAGTAGTTCGCCCACACAATGTCAAGGAGTTGCTTTGTTCAACGCAGAACAGTAAAACGTTACAATGCACTGCAGTGCCAACTTCTTAGGCATATAAAGTGCAGTGATCGTGAGTTGCCATGGAAATATATATATAGAACAAACCAGGAGAGACGAATTTTTGTCCTGGGAAAAACGTTCGTAAAGGATTTGTAGACACAGTGTAGCCCGTGTAGAAAATTGCTGCGTTATTATCCGAACATTTTATAGTAATAATACTTTATGGTAGTTGACGAAACGACATTAGAAAAATACAGTTTCTTTACTTAGAATATAATATAAGTACTATTTATGGTTTGTTTTATTCAGCAGTTAGGTCTGTGGAATCGAAAATTGGGTTGTTAATAAGATGGATGTTTTAAATTAAATCCACTGAAGTCAGATTTTTAAGGTCAGCTGTCGACGGTCCTCTCTGGCCCCGGACGGGAGCCCTGCTTTCAAAGAACTAAAAGTTTTTTGTGGCTTGGGGAACAGAAGAACGAACGAATGATTGGCGTGAATACCTGATAAGAGAAGTCAACCAAATACCAGATTTTAACTGTGTCCTATAATCCTATTGGTAGAAGAGGCGTGGGTGGCCGGAATGTTGGTGAAAAGGTTTGTTCTGACAACGTAAGGGTCTCTGACATTTCTGCTCAGGAAGGAAGCACGGAAGATAAAGGAGATGAAAGAAAGAGATGGAAAAGGGGAACCTGGAAGACAGATTAAGAGAGAAGAGGTGAAAAATTCTGCTTTGACCGGGCCTCAAATCCACTTTTCATGACCTGGTAGACCTACTTCTTATTATAATCCTACAGAGTCCGCTGTTTTGCGGTCCCGCAATTTATCATCATCAGGATTGCTGTCCTGGGTGGGCTTCACACACACACACACACCTGTTCAGGGAAAGATCTGGGAGCTGTCGACCCAGGGGCTCCGGTCCGCCTTGTCCCTCCTTCCAGACACCTTCTAGCACCCAGGCGGCCTCTTTGACTCGCCGAAATGAACAGGGACTCCCCCCCTGTACTATTATTCATCCCATTCATTCCAGTATTCTTTCATCAGGTAGACTGTTCTGCAGTTTGACGATAGCTTTCAGAATCGGCGATGCTGTGATTCTTAACTTTGCCTCGTGACATGGAATTTTATTAAGTTTAGGACAGGCAGGACATGGGGAGATAAGAAATAATGATATTTTAAAACGAAAATCCGAAAGGTAGAGACAACTTGAGTGATCTAGACGTAGATGGGAGGGCGACATTAAAATGGTTTTCAGGGTGTTTGTATGTGGACTGAATTAAGCTGGCTCAGGATAAGTTTCAGTAAGCTTTCGGGTCACAAGAGGCAGGGAATTTCTTGATTATTTGAATATAACCGCCAACTTCTCGAGGAGGATTCTGCTCCATAATAGCGTTGAACCTTCGGGACATAGCTACACCTATTAGAAGAAAATTGTTCAATTTGGAATAGGTAATACGCTTACCTTCAAGATCTTGTCCATTTGAAATTTTGTCTAGACTCTGGGGCCCACCCAGCCTCGTATCTAATGGGTACAGGGATCCTTTCCAGGGGGTACTCATATTTAAGAAGTCGGTAGTGTATAAAGGTCATTTCGTTAACAGGATTTAGTCATTAAAGGATTTTCTGTCAAATAATTTCGCCAGTTGTTGCCTTTGGTTTGAAACGTAGTGACCCCCTTTCTAATTGCACAGAGATTGACGATGTGGCAGAAACTTTATGTAGTCTTTTCCCGCTATTTTATCCCAGACGAATAAAAATAAAGACGCACGTAATTCTTTCATCATCAGCGTAACAAGAAATTGTAGCATTATTTCAGATTGTATGAACAACTCCGGAAGGAATGGTAGCTGATTACCGACACTTTGCTTTGTTAATTTTATAAGCAAGCCGAACTAAATGCCTCCTGGGCAAAAACTACGTTCGTAGCCTACCATCTACTTATTCCATCACCGCTCTGCAATCCAGAATAACAGCTTGAGCCAAAATGTGTTGTTTTTTTTTAACTTTTCCGACAGCACGCACTCTACAGTGGCGGCCCATTGACAGCTGCCGCGTCCTTCAGTTATGATCGATTAACTCCACAGAGAAGGATTCTTCTTGAAAATCCTGTAGGCACTCGGCTAATCAAGATTATCCTCGGTATTTTATGAAACCTGATAGATCATTATCGTGTTCAAAAGAACCCGCCACTGGCCCTGTCATGACCCAGATGAATCAAGTCCACGCATTGTCTCATGTTACGTTATTATGAATCATTTTGATAACCCCACATTATGTGAAATATGTAACAAGCGATAAATGTTTGAGACTGTTTCGTTATGATTAGTATAGCCTATTGGGGAAACGTGTAGTTGGTGCTGAGGTATTGGTAATCTGAACATACCTGCCAGGAAAGCAAAACAATGAAGAAAATAAATCTACATAATCGTTGTTAGGTAATTAAAAAATTAATGTGAGGTTAAAAAGTTTGAATTTCCGGGATGTTTTGACCTCGCAGTCGTTCGCGGGTTGGGCGCGTCAGAAGATTTACGCTGTGCTCTCATTTGTTAATTGATTTTAAACGTGGAGGATAGTTGTGTGCTGACAGAAGAGAAAATCTGCTGAGATTGATTTGGATAAAGAATAAACTTGAGAACGGGTACATTTATTTAGGGAGCAACTGTTTTTAACAAAACCCAATGTTGTACCATGAAGTCGGACAGATTTATTACTACCGATGTGATGAACCACGTTTACGAACAGTAGTTAGCAATAGAAGAAGAAAATCTTAACTTGAATGCGGTTCTTTCCTGTGAAAAACTACCTAAAACACCTAGCCCTCTAAGCCATGGGCTAAATTATATTACTTTTTAATTTAATTATGCACAGGTAAATCAACGAATATGGTTAATTTTCACTTCGCTATTAGAGATAAAGTATAGTTTCACGTCATTGGCAAGAAGTTTCATGTATTTGTTGAATTTCCTCGTAGGTATGATACATTAATAATTCAGTACTTATTTTATATGACAGATGTATAAGCCTTTGAGCTCTTGACTATTTTTAATGAAATTTGGTGCATGATATTTGAGCTCTATTTCATGTGCAAAGTTCCATTCAGTTAAGGCCTAATTAATTTTAAGCACTACAGAAATAAATGTAATATAAATGAGCAAAGACGTAAGATAATAAGATATGAAGGTGAATTTAAATTTAAAACGTCTGCACGAAAATCATTAATTCAATTCTAAAACTTATAGGCCACACTCAGACATATACATAAGCATCACAACACGCTTTATTGCTACTGTATTATCTTCAGGTAGTTAAATGCTACCCAAATTTGGTTTTCGTCAATTACACATGGTCATTGTGTTTCTTAGAAACTCCCCGGCTATTCACTACTGCATTATTAATTTACCCCAAGAGTGGTACATGTCCCACATCTCTGATGCTCCTTGATGTAATCCCCCTAACAATGTTAGGACACAAGTATAAATGATGTAATATTTCTCCAGTCTGCTGTCCGTGTCTGTCTGGTTAATTATTCTGCCCGGCACTTGTTGGCAAACATCTTCAACCCGAGTTGTTCTCCGAGAACAAGCGGCCAAGTTACACACCAGCTTATCAATCAATCACGTTACCACCTCACGAGCCGCCACTGTAAGATCAGAGCATCTTGTGTGGTCTTGTTCCTCCGAGCCAAGCAACACTCTGCCTGTCAGAGAATTCTCTCCTGAACTGACACAATGGTGCGATTACTATATACAGACTTATTATCTACGTAGATGCATAGCTGTTCGGGAAAATGGAATAAAATGTTACGGTACGGGGTATATTAAATGGGATGCTATATTAAAAACTGCTTTAAATCTTTGCCTGCTAGTCAGTGCTTGATAGAGCCATTTCGAGACTTCGATGCAATCCGTATGCTGTCAGCATTTCTCCCAATCAGTGAAGAAATGAGAAAATTATAAATTCCTTTCTTTTATAAATTTATTTTTGTTCCTTCATCGCAACATACCCGTGCTAGCCTCAAAAATGTCCTTTTCCAACTTCTCCCCTGTCTTCGTCTAAATCAGGGGTGCCAACCCGCGGGCCGCATGCGGCCCGCCTTGAACATTTTTCCGGCCCGCGAGATTCATCACACTTTTACAAAATATATTTATTTTATAATGGCCAAAGTAGTGAAAACCAATGTATTAAAAAAATACATTATTTGTGCATCCATATATTCAAAAATTATCTGTCGAAATTATGAGAAAAAATTAACTTTGATTTTAAAATAATAATAGATTTCATTATTTTTATTTCATTCATATTTATATATTTTTTATATTTAATTTTTAGTGCTATATATTTCTTTACAATGTACGCTTAGTATCATTATTATTATATTATCTATGTTTACATGTAAGAATAATAGTAAACACAATAATAATAACTCATTATGTTTCAATTTTTCACTCCAAAAAATGTCTATAGTGTATCTAAATCTAATATGGGGATATATAATTTTATATGTGGCCCGCGGAGTTATGATGCATTTCCAAAGTGGCCCGAAAGATCATTTGGATTGGATTGGCCTCGTCCTATAGGTGTTCTATTCCGTGATATCTTCGGCCACCTGACATCACAATTCACTCTACATGGTCTTCCCATCTCTCGTATACTACTAATATGAACTTAACTTTCTTGCAGATAAATATTTCCGACAACAGTTTGGCTCCCAAATTCCTTTTAGAGTGTAATGATACAGCATTGTGTTTCAGTTACCTACCAGTCTGTAAAAGAAAGGTATGAATTATTGATAGTAAGGGGATAGCTTAATCCTCAGAAACCCACCAGAGCATGAACATGTAGCATATAATCTATGCTAAAGCCGTTGGTTTATTATAACATTTATATTAATATCTATAATCTCAGATTGCATTTTTATAGCTCTCTACAGTACCCACGTATAAGAGAAATCGTGTCGAGATATACGATGTCGATAGTCGTTGTTGCCACGATTTCGTAGTTTAAATTCTCTTTTATCGCAAAAATATTACTAACTCCGTGGAATCTAATAGTCACTCAGCTGATCAATAAATTTCATGTTTTTTTTTATAGAACCTGAACTTTCATTAACGTGTTTATAGGAGCCCGCCTTTCCTGAACCAGTTGAACACAATCCATACCCTCATACCCTATTTGCATTAGACGCATTTTAATAGTATTTTATCCTCCCATCTACCCGTAGGTCGAACAAGCGGTCTCCTTTTTTTTAGGGTTTTCGACTAAAAGTGTGTGCACATTTCTCACCCATTTACGCGTGCTGCATGTATCGCCCATTCACCTATTTTTATCACCCTTGATATGATGACTCTGTACATATTAATTCTTCTCATCATGTAATTCTCTCTATTGTACTATTACTCCCACTCACTTAGGCCCACACAACATCTTCAGTTCTTTGTTCTCAAACGTTCTTCGGTTTGTGAAAGACCTAATTTTGCAATCATATGACTGACTGAGTAGCTAACTAACTAACTAAAAAAGATTCCCTGGTAGCAAAACCCGCAGGTTCAACATCGACAACACCCCCCCCACCCCCACCCACTGACCTAATCCTGACCTATAAGTCCATCCTCACAGCCCACCTGCCTAAGATCCATCTTGATGTTATCCTCCCATCTTCTTCTTATGAAACAGGTAAAATTACAGTTTACATATTTTGATCTGTATTTCTGTATAGGAGGCGGAATTTCTAAAAATAACCGCGCCAGTCCACTGCCCTTTGTAGCATTTCGTATCGTGGAATAACAGTTTTTTACGTTGGGGTGTTATCGGCCAACCTCCCAAACAGCCTAGCCAAAGTAGCATTCCTTGTCGGCTCTCCGAAACGTTTTTAATGATTGTATTAATATTTGCAGCTACGCTCTGTGTATGTAGTAACCTGAGAACACGTGACGTAATTTTCAATTAACAATACTAGACGAAGCTATCGGTAGTTCCCAGAAGTTATGAGTAATTCATGAACATAAATAATTTGGAATTGGAAACTGTGGCCATGATAAAATCAGTTTAGCATTGCGTTCAAAATGACTAATTTCTTGATAGAGCATCTTCGCAGTCAAACTGTAGGCCTATAAACTCAGAATTGTTTGCACAGTTTGGGTGATACATGTTCTCAGTAGGCACTTGGCTCGCCATGTTGAGAGTTTAAATGTATCTTACAGAATATTCCTACAGGATTTTTAAGTACGGCCTGTAGGAACAGCCCTAGTACCACTCCACATTTTACCTACAGCGATTAATAAACATTCATAAATAATTAAATTAAATGCCGCCATGTGTCCGTACTTTGTACAATAGTCATGTTATATTCAGTTTTCGTCAAATGTCAACTCACGTCGTACATTAAAATGAGTTCGTTTAAAAAATGTCGAAATCCACAGTGAATACGCAGGGCATAATGATAAGGCGATCATTTCCTTCAGTCGAGATGATTATTTTAATAGGAACTTTGGAAAGACGTTGTTTGTCACTCACCGAGTATGCCGTCGATGGAGTGGTTCTTCCTGGGATCGCTTTCATCCCTACGCCCCCCTCTTAGCAGCCTGCTGATGGAGCTGACAGATGGCGCGCTGTTCTTGTCGCATATTCCGTCCTGCGTGCACAGAAAACTGAATTAGTAACCCATGCAGTTACACGGATTGTGGTAGGATATTTAATTAATTTGTTATTATAATTATCTCGTCCTACTGAATGTCTATAGATCGAGCCAGCGAAAAGTTGAGACCCGCAGTGCTCAGGCAGTATCCCAGTATTATAATTATTTTAGCTGTTGTGAAGCAGGTTAATTAATTAATAGAATTATAAGATTCGGTCCAGTAATGAAAGAACGAAAATGGATGGTAAAATTTATCAATGTACATAAGAACCACACATAAAAGCGTATGGAAGCGTGTAGTTAAACCTCCATGCATTCTTATCCCCCGCAGTAGATAACAGGATGATGGAAAGTAAGTCCAGGAAGAAGGGACATAAGAAGGGTGTGGCCTAAACAAGGAAGGGGAATAGAAGAAGAGGAATTAGAATACCAGAGATTGTTTAGAAATATAAAGCAAAGAGAGGGAGATAGTGGCGGAAGGAAAGAACAATAAAGTATGATGAAGTAGGAAGTAAGAATAATCATCGATTCTGAAGAACCTGTTAACATTCTTGTTCGAAAACAACACGAGTAGCCCATAGTCATGATTGTTCGGGATCAGGGCCTACCTTGATGAGTCTGTCGCGGATCTCCCAGCTGAAGATGCCTGGGTTCGCCTTCTTGTAGTCCTCGATGCGTTGCTCCACCTCGGGGGTAGCCACCCTCGGCTTACTACCCCCTATGACTCCAGGGCGGATGCTGCCGGTCTCCTGGTAACGATTCAGTATCTTGGACACGCAGCCATGTGACACGCGCAGTTGTCGCGAGATGACGCAGGGTCGAACCCCAGCGGCGGCCATCTCTACGATCTTGAGGCGGATGTGGTTTGGCAGAGGGCGTCCGTTGATGAAGACGCCGCCTAGCTGGTTCACCCTGCCCTGCCCTGTAACCAGAGAAACGTGTTACAGCGTGTTCCTTGCAGGGAAACAGACAC